TAGATTTTCATCCAATGGTTTGGACATTTGATAATCAAGAAGAACATTTATTGACATATTCATATTTTAATTGTGGACCAAGTGTTATTTTAATTTTTTTTTTCATAGAAATATTTTATTAAATTTAATTTCTTTTTTAGTTATTGAATATACAAAAGGTACTTATACTGATCCAAGTGCTCCAATAGAACAAAAATCAATACGTTGGAATCATAGTTTAAGTGATATTATTATGGCTTTAATTGAACATCATTTAAAAATCAATCTTTTCAAAGAATTTGATAGTTTACCACTTAATTATTTTAATAATTTATGTCAATTATCAGATCATCAACAATATCAATTTAAACAATTCCTAGGAAAATTACCATTGGTTTATGCTATAAAAGCAATAAAAAACAAATAATATATACAAATATTCATTTTTTTTTACTGAGATCAGTGTTTTTGAAAGATATTTTAAGATATCAAAATTATAATTAAAAAAAAATATAATTATAGGAAGACATTCATTTTTTATGTAGAATTATCGAGAAGGAATCTATGACGTATATTAGAAAGTTTCAGATATAATATTGAAGAAGAAGAATATTCCTAATGATGAAAAAGTAATAACGAAGTGTAACATCTTTGATTTAACAGTTCGTCAGAGCTGCAGCAAAAATTCGGTCCTACTCAACACCGCATCTCAGATCATATGAATGCTTTAGTAATCTTCGTTCAAATCAATGAGGATTCAATAAATGATATCAATTTAATTACTTAATCTGAACCTGTTAAATATCTAATGATATTCACACGGGTGTGGGTGTCAGTGTGAGTAAAGGAAAGATATATACCTATACCCACACCCGCCCACAACCACACTCAAGATTGGTTATATCTAGTTAATGTGTTAGATATTGAATTAAATCAGAAAATAAATCGAAATTGGTTTCGTAATGGAAATCGATTACTTGGACTACTCTTAGTCCACGATTTCATTTTTAATGTTTCAAATATTAACGATTAGTTTTCTTTTAAATGTGACTGACATTTATAAGCTTATAATTTCTTACTAAATGAATTAGTCGACTCAATTTCTAGCCATTTTGAAGAGCACATTTTACGATACTTTTGTTTTTTTAATAAGATAGTTTTACAAGAATATCTTTTTTCGTACAAAAAAAGGTAAAAAGAAAAAAAATATTTCTTTGGTTTCCTCTTATACTTCATCGAAGAAAAATGGTGACTCTGGAAGAGAACAATAATATGAAAAGAGACTTAATGTAAAAGTATTCAGATATACATTTTTGTACAGCAAAATTTTTCCGATTCTTAGAAGAAAAAAAAATCAGTCATCAGAACGACTTTCTCGTTTAACTATCCAAATACGTTACGCGTCACGCGTTTAAAGATTTCTATCAATAGAATATATAACAACAATGGCTACCGAACAACACAAAATTTCTCTTTTGACCTTATCTACTGAATTTGTTTATCGAATTTGTGACTTTTTCAATGTAGAAACAATAGTTCTTTCATTTGGTCATGTCTGTGTACAATTATCTGCCGTTGCAGAAACGTACAATCGATAGAAAATTCGTTTCAATTCGATGTCAAAGATGAACATCTGTGGATTTATTTCACCTAAAAATGTTGTATCGCTTGACTTTGAAGACGAGAAAAATGCAATCAATTTGAACGAATTATTTCTTTCAGTTTTCAATATTCATCAATTTACTAGACTTCATTAATTATCTATTCATAATATCAAGGTTAGTGACTTGAATATCATCTTGCATCATGCTACAATGAACTGTAATCTGACATCATTGCCCATCTATTTCGATATATTACAACTTTTCACTTCAACTATTGCACAACCTAGTCTTCATAACCTTCAGTTGAATTTTAATCTTAGTGATAAAGACAAATTATTATGATCTTTTCAATGTACGACTGCAAATCTCTCAATCGACACATTTACTATCAAGCAATTTTGTTCTATTCTTCAAAATTCATCTCATCTTTATAGTTTAATTATGAATAATTGCCAGATAATCAAGATAGATGAGACTTTCCAATTAAACTAATATAAACAATTGAACTGATTGACATTCAATGATATGTAGATGACAATGGATAAACTCGAATTTTTCCTTTCTTTTCTACCATCATTTATTCATTTAAATCTAACTAGTTCAGAAAAACCATTCAAATTTGTTCAACGTTTATCCCGATGGGAAGATTTTATTCGATTAAGATTAGCCAGACTTAATCAATTCGAGTTTTGTATCTTTTGTTACTGCTCTGATTGGAAGAATTTTGATGCATTAATAGCCGCATATCGAACGCGATTCTGTCTCGAAGAGAAACATTGGTTTGTGACACATATCAATTTCGTGATGACTGGAGTTCGAGCTCCACTATATTTATCTCACCAGAGTCTTCAATACATTCCTATCAACAAGCACACAACTTTTACAAAATTGTATGTTTAAGCTCAAATGCAACTGATCATCAGTGAGAGTGACAGTGACATTCACTCTTCACCAATGATCGAAAAGCCTCGTATATGTCTAACGAACATGATAGAAGATATACATTTTGTGTCACTGATTCCGTTTCTTCTTTCCAATTGTGTCATTTATTTTCAAGTATCCTGTTCTCTATACAAATACCGCGCTCTTGTGAGTGGACACGCACCAAACAAGATGACCATCGAAATTAAGCGAACTATTTTTCATATTCACTCGAGTATGTAGGGTGAGAATAGTATTACTTATTCACCGCCACCCATCATCCCACGTGCTCACCCTTGTTTATAAGGTGATAGAAAACTGGTAGAACCACCCATTTCGTGTGCACTGATCTCGTATTGTTCATTGGTAATTATTGAGTTAATCAGTTTTAATTTACTTTTCCTCTTCTTTTTTTATTGTACTGCTTCTCTTCCATGAATATATGAAAAGCATAAATGGGTAAACTCTCCCATTCTATTATATTCATATCGACAGATTTCTCATGTTGTTTATACAAAATGTATTTATAGATTTTAATAAATAGAATTGCAATGAATTGTAATTAAAATAAATGTGTATTGTCACTTATGAATAATTAGTTTATGAGCCCCTAATCTCATATCTCATCCTGTTATCTACTTAATCTGTCTAGATAAGACTTATGCATGTCATTGCTTGTCAGCTCTTTCTTGAAAGAATTTTTCATTATGTATATTTATTGTGAATATGAAAAATATTAGAGTAGCACAACAAGCAGAACAAAAAAGAATTTGAAAATGCACACGAAGATCAACAGATGTCGTTTATTCGAGCTCAATGCTCGAAGTGTTTGCTGCGATGGTTACAGGAGCAACTTGGTTCTGTCTGAAACAACACCACAGTTTCCATCGTTTCCAACATTTTTTCATTAGAACATGTTTCACTTGACGGCGGTAACGTGATGATGTTGTCACAAAGACATAAAAGTTACTCTAGAACAAATCATTCTATTCTCTATCAATAAAACAAAAAATGTGACTATACCATAAAGTTTAGAGTGAAAAATGAAACGAAGATCGTTTGTAGTAATCGTCTGATTGCATTTTGCAAAGGATTTAATGGTGTAGTAAAAGCATAGTTGCCATAGATACGATAAATGGCAAAAGGTAATACGAATATCACAAGAAAGACGACTCGTATGAGAACCATCGCTGTTATTTGTTGATCAAATCGGCGACGAACAATTGGCACTTGTTGACGAATAATACGGCGAACATTCCGATAAGCTAACAGGCCAAATGATCCTGCAATAACAATTGGTAGAAGGCTATACAAAACTGGAAAGAAGAAAAATGACGAGTAATGAGCCCATATTTGATTCGAAATAACACATCCTAATGATGACTGAATATCCATAAAAAGGCTAGAAACAATACTATGAAGAAACCAAATGCAAATAGTAACAAATGTGAGATATCGAGCCAGTTTTAGTGTACACATATGTCTCATATTAAACCAATAACTTGTCGAGAAAAACTGATCACAAGCAGCAAAACATACTGTAGATAACGAGATAAGTACACATGTTTGAAAGAATATCAACCTTGATCGACACCAGACTAATGAATATCCACCGGAATCAAATCCATATATTATTTGTAAAATGGCATTGATAGAATAGACGATTATGTAGATAATGTCAACAATTGATTCGACAGTTAAATAGAAAGCACATCGACTGTTTCGAAAAATTTTCAGATGAGTCAAGACAAAAATGTTGAGAGCATTTCCAATCACTCCACCAATAAATATAATATAACAACTATGAAATGAATATTGTGTATTGATATTCAAAATTGTTAAGATCGTCGATGATGCCATGATAATGTTTTATAAGTTACTTAAAATGTCATAGTGTTAATCTGACAATCACATCATCACCAGCTTTTTTTCTTTTATTTATCTATTTTCTAGTGCAAAAAAAAGCTACTTGTCGATATTCAAATGCTTTGAGAGAGAAGCCAACACTTGTAAGTGCTTTTCTTTTATTATAATTTTCAGCAGTGGAAATGTATGTAAAGATGGCGGTTCATCTTTTTTAAAAAGAAATAAAAGAAAAAGAGAAAGATCTTGTCATGAGAGAATATGATGAAAAAAAACAATAACGCTTTATTCTCAATAAATGTCATGTAAACAGGATTTTGTTGTCACTGTGACGATGCTAATTACGTTTTTGATAAAACAGCATCTTTTTATTGGAAGGTTTATAAGAATGTTGCTGTAAAATACTTCGATTTCACTACAAAAATGGTTATGTAATCTAAACTATTGATGATAGTACTGCATCTAATTATATAATGACCGACGTCTTACTACTTATACATCTTCATTTTCGTTTGATGCCAACTACTCGCGATTTTATGACTCGTACACTCTCATTCTATTTCATATATTGGAGTGCACAAGCTCTCGCCGTTTTTTTTTTCCTCTTAAGTTTACTATGATGGGGATATCAAATGAATGAGCAAGATACTCAACATTTTCATCTCCTTCATTCCACTTTTCAAAGTGAATAAATAGATCTTATTTCTCTTTGATAAAAGAAAGTGACAGCAGTCATATTATGTCTCTTATGAATTTCCTCGAAATTCATCTCAGTCAAGTCATGCTGACCCAATGCCCAGCTGTACAGACATGAGATATATTAGAGATATGACAAATATTACCGATATAAATCTTCATATCTCAACATCTCCTATATCCCTAAAGTAGATATATTCATATGTACAAAAATAAATATAAACCTACACATATATCTGAGTCAATTGTAAAATTATTCTACCGTTATATTCTTATATGTAAAGTTTCAATATCTCGAATTCTTCTCAATCAATCTCTATGATTTTTTTCAGGTTAGGCTTGT